GCACTAAAGCTCCATGAAGGATGTACAGAAGTGTTGCTTTTCAAAAGAAAACAGTCCTGTGAGTGCACATTCAGGTTTCACTCCCAATCACACAATTTATACTGTACTTCCAAGCTAAGAAATGCTACAAAAGCTTCCTCTCCAGGGTCCAATCTGTACAGAAGGGACTTGGAAGAAACAAGTTATGGTTTTCAGAAGAATCTTTTTTTACTTTAATTTTAGTTTTATTTTATGTGTATGAGTGTTTTGTCTGCATGTATGCAAACATGCCACATGCATGCAATGCCCTCAGAGGCCAGAAGGGGGCATCGGATACCCTGTTCCTGGAGGTATGCACTCTTAGCCATCCTGTTTGTGCTGGGACCTGATCCTGGGCCCTCTGTTAGAGCAGCCAATGCTCCTAACGGCTAAATCATCTCTCCAGCCCCTGAAGAAGAATCTTTAAAGGCCTCTCTCTGTGCTTCAGGATGGATGGAAACAAACCTTAAGTCATTGTTCAGCATTTGCTTCCTCGTTTTAAGGGCTACTGGCGAGGTCCTAGGGATGGAGCTATTGTCATTTTCTCCCCATTTGTAACAAGCCTGGGAAGGTGGCAAGCGTCAAAGGATCTGTATAGAGTAAGTGATCTCCAGCTCTATCTCATCTTTAAATTACAAAAACTTTCCTAACCATGCTACATGGTCTTTACAAGGATTAAAGGTAAAACAGAGAATGTCAGACTTTGCTCCCTCTTCTCACAGTCCTTTGTGTAATGTCCAGCCTCACCACTCAATGCAGCAGCCACATTTGTGCCAAGTGACTGTCTCCAAAATGAACTCCCTAGGAGAAGCAAAAAGCAACGCTGTCAACGAGATCGTGGGAAATGACCTATAAAATGACCCGAGTCCATCAGATCTTGACTCCCAAGAATTTGGGTGAGGAAGCATAGAAAATAAGCAGTCAGCAGGGAGGGCACCTGCTGAAAGATGTTAGGGGGTGGAGAGGAGCCACAAAAAGCATGCAGAGATTATGAGGCCGACGTAATCTGTGACATAAGAATGAGCAGAAAGCCAAATACTGTGTGCCTTTTGGGTAGCATCTAATAATAATATGAAGCCAACATGGTTATCAGCACACTTAAGAACATTGCCTTACAACTTCCTTAATTTAATAGTATGTTCTAGCTCGATTGCTGTTGCTGTGATAAAACACTCTGACCAAAAGGATGTAAAGGAGGAAAGAATTTAGTTAGCTTACACTTCCAGGTCACAGTCCATCACTGAAGGAAGTCAGGACAGGAATCTAAAGAGGACCTGGAAGCAGAAACAATGGAGGAATGCTGCTAATAAGGCCTGCTCTCTGGCTCATGCTTCGCCAGCTTTTCCTATATGACTCAGGACCACCTGCCTAGGGATGGTACCATCCACAATGGGCTGGGCCCTCACATCAATTAATAATAAAGACAGTCCTCCTCAGACAAGCCCACACGGGCTTGTCTGATCTAGGCAATCTCTCAAGAGAGGATTTCCTCTCACATGACTGTAGGCTGTGTCAAGTTAACAACTAAAGCTAACTAGGACAATTATGTATGCTTTATGTTATTAACATGAAACAACCAGACCATGTAGCCCTCTATACACACATGCACGCGTTTATCATTTATAAATAAATGTTTATATTGAGGATATGTGCTCAAAATATTTTGTTTGAAGGTGGAGGTATAATCAAAATGGTTTTTATTATAGTGTGTGTGTGTGTGTGTGTGTGTGTGTGTGTGTGTGCACATGAGTGTCACTACCACAGCATGTGTGTGGAGGTCAGAGGACAACCAGTGGGAGTTGGTTTTCTCCTTTGAACATATGAGTCCAGGGGACTGAACTCGGTTGTCAGGCTTGGTGACAAGCCTGCTGAGCCATCACACAAGCCCTCAAAAATATTTGGATACCTAGACTTTGACACAGAAAGTGCACACTGAGTGACAGAGGAAAAGGTAGGATATCTGCAAGGAATGTAATAAAGACCCTGTCCTCAAGGAGTTCAAAGGCCATGTGTTACAGAGAGGAACAGAGCTCCATGAAGTGCTCACTAGGACCTGTATGTGCCTATGGAGGTCCATGTGCTTTAATATCATTTTCCAGCAAGAAAATCACCATTGATCAAACAAATTACTGAATTAATTTTCCAGGGCCAGTGGTCTCTAAACATTTCTGGACCACAGAGCACTCTGAGATTCTAACTTTTTTTTAATGGAACATCTTCCTTAGAAAACACACAGGAATACTGTGGGCTAAATTTCACTGATGCCTTTCACCCACAGCCCAAGGATAAGAAACTACGAGTTCTACCTTCTATTTGGAAATAGAAATAACACACACAATCATTAGATCCTAAACTCAAAAGACTTTCTTAAGAGGCTGATTCATAGGCTTCTCTCTTCTGGAGCAGCAACTGAGTGGCAAGGAGAGAAGACTCCAGAAATAAAAAGCCACTTCTATTCTCAAGCACAATGTACAGAACTGACACAGTATCATTCAGTTACACAATGGCTCTTTAGAATTCTCAATGAAGGGAATACTCACTCATGTCTAAGACCAAACACAAAGAACAAAGAGCAAAATACAAAGTTGCCATATCCAAAAGACTAGAACAATTGGTTTTCTGGCAACAGACTCATTGGTGAGAAGGGCAGACAAAGCAACCAATATTTTCTACACAGGTAAGTAAAAAGTCTGATACAATATTCCATCCATTTGCTTTGAAAGATTTTATGCAACAGAGCTACAGATCATAGGCTTGGTTCCATCTCTTCTCTTAAATAGTTTAAAAAAAAAAAGCACTAGATAAATCATGAGAAGTCACATGAAAATACCAGCATACAGCAATCAGAGCTATCTGAGACTAACAGCTTCAGTTTCACTATTTTTAAAGCTAGGAAAAGCAGTGTTTGTTCCACAAAGATGACAAACACATGCTTTCAAGGGAAAAAAATGAAAATTTCTCCATCATATGCCAGGTCAGGCTTTAGCCCACATATATTTTCTTGCCTTCATTCAACAAATGTCCGGTGAACTTCAACTATGAGCCAAATATTAAGACAGCAAAATCCAATAAAATTAGATTACTTCTTCCTGAGGCTTATTAGTTTCTCCAACCATTGAAAGGGTGTGAAGCTAAAGGGTTCGTTAGCTGATAATGACAACTAATATTTACATAGTGGTTTACAGATTATAAAGTATCATGTGTTTCACCTCATGAAACCCTCACAGTAGCTTTCTGAGAAATGTGATCATTGGAAGTACACATAGGAGGGTCAGGATTTCAAGGTCATCCTCTGCACTACAACAGCAAATTCAAGTCCAACCTGTGCTACGTGAGACCCTATCTCAAGAAAAAACAAAAAGAAATTAATTAAATAAGACAAGTAAAAGGGGTAACAATCAGATCATACTCATAGTATACTCGAATTTTAAGACTGAAGTAAGAGAACTCAAGAGGAAGTCATCACCTGGTCTTATGCAAAAATGTTCACCTTGGGTCAATGCCTAAACACTCAACCCAAATCCCTCCTACAACATCTGACTTCGGGTAACCTGACCTCTTAACATACCTGCTCATACTACTGGTAAGGCAGTACAGCAGTACATCCAAAGCCTCTCAAAAAAATAAATAAATAAAATTTAAAAACTAAATAAATGCAAACTAACTTCAACTCAGCTATCCCATTTCTGGGAATCTCAAAAGAAAAAACAAGAACATGGTGAACGCATTTCAAAGATATTCATTAGAGTGGAGTTATTTAGGATAATGTTATTTTAGTTATTTACAAAAATTTCTATCAGTCAGGGATTGTTTTAATAATAACATATACATATAAAAATGCTCTTCAGTTACTAAAAAGAATATAAATTCGGGGCTGGAGAGATGGCTCAGCAGTTAAGAACACTGGTTGTTCTTGCAAAAAAACCCAGGTTCAAATCCCGGCACCCACATGGCAGCTGACAATTGTTCATAACTCCAGTCCCAGGGGATCTGACAGCCTCTTCTGACCTCCATGGGCATTGCATGACACGGGTGCACTTACCTACATGCAGGCAATACATGCATACACATATAATAAACATGAAAAGATGCACAGACTCAATCTAGTGAAAAAAGCAATCGCTAACACTAATTCTAAATACCCACACATATTCTGTTTATGTATGTACATACAGGCAAAATCCCTAATTGATGAAATAGGAAAACATGCTTTCCTTATAGTTATCCAAAAGCTCAATTCTGGCTGCTGAGGCTGGGAATCACATTTGCTCTCCTCTACTAGCTTTTCAGCTCTTCCTGGCAGCACAGTCTCTAGTCCATTTCCCTCCCTGCTTTGCCCTTTTAAAATGTAGAACTTGTTTGAAAACAGGCTCTTAGAGGCATCCAGACCACGACAGGACACAACAGGACAATTCTCTCCTGGCTAGGGTGTCAGTGTGGCTGGAGACAGCCAACAATGGTGAACTGCTGGCTGGAGTCTTGTATCTTTTCAACAGAGCTACTATTGATCCAGGTCTCCTCAGTCTAGAAACATGCACTTTTTCTCCAGCTCTAGAAAGTTCTATCGCTATAGCTTAATTGTATATTTGTTCCGAAATGTTTTTTCACCCTTGATTTCTGACATCCAGTTGGTTGGCTTCTCTCTCATAGTGACAGATTTCAAATCTGACCCACCTTTTTAAAATTTTTTTTTATTTTTGAGAATTTCAAACATGACTATTGTCTTTGCATTATTTTTCCATCCCTCCCAATGCCCCGCCAACTCCTCCCATGTTCCCCCATTCTCTCTTAATTTCATATATATGTAATGAGTCCATTTAGTGGTATTTGTGTGTATTTGCATTTAAAAATATGCAACGTGTTGCCGAGCGTGGTAGTGCAAGCCTGTAGTCCCAGCACGTGGGAGGCAGAGGCCAGCATGGTTTACATAGTGAGTTCCAGGCCAGCTGGGGCTAAAGGGACACCCTGTTTCCAAAAGACAAAAAAAAAAAAAGCAACGCTCCACAAATCTGTGTCATTCTTGCACAGGGGCCATGCTAATCTTCTCTGTACTGTTGCAGTTTTAGTATCTGTGCTCCCAAAGTGAGATCTGACCCACCTTCTTTATCAAAGGCCACGCTTCCCAAACTAAGATCCCATGTCACATGGTAAGGCCTACTCAACTAATTTTATTGGATGATAATTTTAAGTTATTTTTGTATTATAATACATAGAGTTTTAAAAACAAAAAAGGAATTCACTTGATTATAAAAACTTGAAGATTTTAACTCCTGTGTGTACTTCTAAAGTCTCCCTCCACCTCCCCACAGCCCACAGCTATACCTTTACCCTCCATACCCTCAAAAAAAAAATTATAAGCACTCCTTTTCCATAATGATCCTTTGATAGGAAATTAACTAGGGTAGCCCCAGAGGCAGGTTGTACACCCTTTAACACAATCGAACAACAGCCCATATTTTCACAACTTAGCCATAAAGAATCTTAAGGAACTCAGCCTAATACTTAGTTTTATTCTGATATTTCCTAATAATGGCATTTCCCAATGTATTCTCCAAGAAGTAGCTGATCTAAAAAGGAAGGAAGCAAGGCTATCTCAGCAAAGGCTAATTCTTGGGAAACTTCCTCAGGTTTCTCTCCCAGGTAACCTTGAGTCATCCTTTCTTCATCCTTCACTGTCAGGCCATGTCTCACCCTCCTTTAAGGGCGAAGCTCAGCTGCAGAGTGCCTGCCTGGAAAGTAAGTGAGACAGAAGCATCTATTCTAGGCCAAAAAGGATGACACACATGAGAATAATGACAAAGGGCTAGAAAGGGCCAACGAATGGCCCAGAGAAACACTAGTGTACAGGAAGGAATATGCTACCTGGCTGGAGTGAAGGGGCGCGATGAAGGTCACCCTGGCACATGGTGGAAAACTGATTCTATTTAAGGATGAGAAGGAGACCTTACTTGAGAATCGTCTTTATAAGGCTTCTGGGCCACATTTTAAAATTTTTTCTATTGCAGAAAATTTTAAATGTTTTCAATTTTTTAAAAACATTTCCTTGGGGGCTCAGCAGTTAAGAACACTGTTCTTGTAGAAGCACCAGATTCAAATCCCAGCACCCACATGGCAGCTAACAACTGTCCATAACTCCAGTTCCAGGGAATCCGACAGCTTCTTCTGTCCTATGTGGGCATTGCACAACAGGGGTGCACTTACCTACACACAGGCAATACATGCATACACATAAAACAAAAATAATAAATAACTTTTTTTTAAAAAATTGAAATAAAATTTAAAAAATAAAACTTCAGTGCACAAAAATTTAAGTAGATGACCACTATAATAAGAATTTGCAAGAAATTCTCAGTGGCTATGATCTTTGATTTTTAAGAGTTTGAGTAAACTGGAAGGCTTAAGAACAGGCCAGGCAATTCTTAAGATGGTAGCAAATTTCGGGGAGAAACCTTCAGTGTCTATTAGTAAGTTTTCCCTCAAAACCTAGTTTAAAATGCAGATATTTGTTAATTTTAAAAAGTACATGAATAAAATAAGTGAAAAACAGCCTCTCTATTGACAGGTTCCCTAATTACAAGCTCATCCTCATCTGTTCCCTAAAATGTAGTGTGAATTTGAATCTATGCAAGTGCAGGGTCTCCTAAGGCTCAGAGTCTCTTAATGCTCACAGAGTCTCCCAATGCTCAGTCTCCCAATGCTCAGAGTCTCCCAGTGCTCAGAGTCTCCCAATGCTCAGTCTCCCAGTGCTCAGTCTCCAGTGCTCAGTCTCCCAATGCTCAGTCTCCCAGTGCTCAGTCTCCCAATGTTCAGTCTCCCAATGCTCAGTCTCCCAGTGCTCAGTCTCCCAATGCTCCGTCTCCCAATGCTCAGTCTCGCCAATGCTCAGAGTCTCCCAATGCTCAGTCTCCCAATGCGCAGTCTCCCAATGCTCAGAGTCTCCCAATGCTCACATCACTCACATTCCAGCTGAGATGTCCATCTACTTCTTTCAGCTCCCCTACTGTAAACAACTGTCCTTTTCCACATTTTTTTTTTGAAGGGTGGTTCTGCAGTTTAAAATAACCCCCAACACCGAGTCAGAGTGGTATCTTGTGTTGTTAAGCACAGAAAGGCCAAGATGCGTCTTAGGGAAAAAAATATGTGCTTTAAAAAAGCTTCCTCCAGACATGAATTACTGCACTATTAGCCAGAAGTTCAACGTTAATTAATAAAAACTCTGTACTAAACAAGACATCTTTAAACAAAAGCACACATAAAACAAGGTCATGAATTGATCAATGACAAAAATGTGCAGTGACCAGAGGCTCACAGGACTCTGCCCTGAGTTGCATCCCTGGGAGCAGTGGCTCAGCACCCAACAATCCAACTAACTTTACAGACTACACAGCAGAGGCCTTCCAGTGGTCTGGTGCTCCAGCAGAGTGTTCTACACTTTCTGTGTTTGCTCCCCTGGGCAGTTCTCCAACCTCTGGGCCTCCTTTTAATATTAGAGAACAGCTCCAAGTCCCAGGTTTAGCCCTCGGTGCTATTTTTCTCTTTAAGGCTCTTCTACAGGTTTTCTCTAGTGAATTCAAGTATGTTGGCCTGTCCCAGACTTGGCTTTCTCTTCCTACTGTTTTCCTTAGTCCTGAGTAGCCTCGGTCACTTCTTGAACTGCCTTCTTCACCCAAGGATTATGCTATTTTTATGAGAAGTCTCCTGAAACATTTATGTCTTTGGTCATAGGGTCATAGGGTTATACTTACATTTTTGCCTGTGTAAAACTATTTTTTTAACAGCTATATGACAATTCCCTGCCTTAAATTCTATTTAATTATTTATTTTATTTTTTTAATATTTTATTTATTAATTTTATTTTATGTGTATGAGTGTTATTCCTGCATGTATGAAAGTGCACCCCTGTTGTGCAATGCCCACGGACAGAAGAGGCTGTTGGATTCCCTGGAACTGGAGTTATGGACAGTTGTTAGCTGCCATGTAGGTGCTGGGACTCAAACCCGGGTCTTCTGCAAGAACAGTCAGTGTTCTTAACCACTGAGTCATCTCTCCAGCCCCATTAATTATTTATTTTTATCTTATGTGTATGAGTGTTTTGTCTCCATGTATGTAAGTGTACCACATATATACAATACCCCTAGAGGCCAGAAGGGGGTGTTGGATCTCCTGGAACTGGAGTTACAGATGGTTGTTACCTGCCATGTAGTGCTGGGAACAGAACTCAGGTCATCTGAAAGAGCAGCTAGTACTTTTAACCACTGACCCATCTCTCCAGTCCCCTCCCTGACTTAAATTCTAGGATATAAATATTTCTTCCATTATTATTCAAGGTGCCTTTAGAAATTCTTGATATGGGGGCTGGAGTGATGGTTCAGCAGTTAAGAGCACTAGCTGGTCTTGCAGAGGACCTGAGTTCCAGTCCCATCACCCACATGGCAGCTAACAACCATCCTTAACTTCATTCCAGGAGATCTGAGGCCCTCTTCTGACCTCTGTGGGCATTGCATGATAAAGTGCACTTACACACATGCAGGCAATACAGTCATACACATAAAAAAATAAATAGAAACAGAAATTCCTGACATAATTTTAAGTATCAATATAGATTATATATACACATAGAGGAGAAATACGATAGGATTCTGAAACCCCATTTGCATTATTACTCTGATTTTTAAATCTTTTGCTATAGGAAAACTTCTAACATAGACAAAAGTAAAGAGACTATGTAATGAATTCAATGAGCCCATCAATGATTGCAACAATTACCAATGTTTTACCAATCTTTTTCACTAGTCCTTATTTGTTCTGTTTTTGCTGATATCTTTTTTTTTTTTTTTTTTTTTTTTTTAAAAAAAAAAAAAAAAAAAAAAAAAAAAGAGGACGATAAATCTTTCACTGTGATATATCAAAATAA